GTCGGGGCCGTGACAACATGATCAGATCTCTTCTCATTTTTTTTTCTTTGAATCGCACTTCATTTAGTCCCTTCGCGTTATTTTTGCAACAATCTACTAGACTGGGATAAGCAGACAGTTTGCGTCGGCGTTCATAATTAACACTCTCAACTTCCTGGAAGAAAAACTCAAGTCGTGTTCGAGCAGAAACTTCTTTTTCGCTAAGCAGTCCCTTTCTCTAGCCATCGTTGGTGTCACAGAGCTTGCCCAGTGACGCACAGTCAGAGAGCTCTAGAGTGTGCGACTGCCAGAGAGAGAGACATATTAGACATTAACAATCAGTTAGTACTCCTCTAAGCTTTATCTAATTTTTGTCATCCTATGCTACCACGATATATAGTTGCATAGCGAGAGCTTGTCTGAGATAGTGAGATAGAGGGAGATAGAGAGAGAGAGAGAGAGAGAGAGGAAGAGAGAGAGAGAGGGAGAGAGAGAGAGAGAGAAAAAGAGAGAGAGAGAGAGAGAGAGAGAGAGAGAGAGAGAGAGAGAGAGAGAGAGAGAGAGAGAGAGAGAGAGAGAGAGAGAGAGGAACACAATTTAGTACCAATAAGTCAAAACACAATGTAAAAAGTTTACAATAACCGAGGCAAGAATAGGACAAAACACAATAATAAACCTTTCACAACAACCAGGACATACGACACTTTTAACAACAACCAGGACATACGACACTTTTCACAACAACCAGGACATACGACACTTTTAACAACAACCAGGACATACGACACTTTTAACAACAACCAGGACATACGACACTTTTAACAACAAAAACCTAGACATGCGATGCTAAAGTTAAAGATGATGAATAAATTATAATCCACCAAACATTATTCACGCAAACAATTCCAACACACCCAAAATAAAATGTGCACATATAACATTACAAAATTGAAGCTGAATTATTTGCTGGCCTGCATCTTGAACAGTAGTAAATAAGAAAACTAGATCTAGTCTCTTTTTACTATAATCTTAAACGGTCAGAAGACGAATTCTCGTTATATTCATTCAAGATGTTGGTGTAACAATATTATTATACTACATCTACAACTTTCATGTACACTGTGTATATTATTAGAGCTACTGCGTTGTATGTTTCATTGAATAGGAATGTATTTCAAGGAGCTACACAGTGGCGACAGGCAATGGCATGTTTGTAAATTGTTCAGTACCGGTGTAATATTGTGTAGTAAAAATGTATGTATGTATTTGTGCATGTGTTTATGTATGTATGAATTTTTATAATATGTATGTATGTATGTATGTATGTATGTATGTATGTATGTATGTATGTATGTATAACGTATGTATGTTTGCCATCGTTAATTAAATTGCCCTCCTGGGATCAATATCAAGAGTAATTTATTTATTTTTATTTTCCTGAGAGCGTTTCTTTTATGTTGATGCTGAAGCACTGTGTGTTGCAGCCCTGGTCTGTCTAGCCGAAATTCTCTTCATGGATTTATATATAAAGTTTATACTTTTCCACAACCATCCCACATAAGCACTACTCTCTTTCCC